CGCTAAAAAATGCTCCAAATTTTGCTAAAAAAGCAGGGTTAACCCCTTACCAATTTAGATGTTTCATACAAATCTGATTTTGCCAAATTTTACTAAATATACAAGGTACTCCTCTTACAATTTAACATTTTTCATAAACATTTCTTTTTGCCAAATTTTGCTAGAAATACAAGGTTAAGCCCTAACAATCTGCAATTTTCCAGAATCGTCTGATTGTGTCCTATTTTGCTAAAAAAAAATGCAAGGTTAACCCCTTAGAATTTGAATTTTTTTCATGAACATGTAATTTTTCCCAATCTTATTCAAAAGGCAAGGTAAACCCCTTAGAATTTGAATTTTTTTCATGAACATGTAATTTTTCCCAATCTTATTCAAAAGGCAAGGTAAACACCTTACAATCTGCAATTTTCCAGAAACATTTGATTTTTTCCCATTTTCGCTTTAAAAAAATGTGAGGTTAACCCCTTTCAATTTGAAATTTTTCGTAACATCTAATTTTTACCAAATTTCGCTAAAAAAAAAGTAAGGTTAATTCCTTACATCGGATTTTTTTTCATAAAAATCTCATTTTGCCCAATTTTGCTTAAAATGCAAGGTTAACCCCTTTCAATCTGCAATTTTCCAGAAACATCTGATTTTGCCCTAATTTGGCAAAGGTTAACCCCTTACAATTTTTGATTTTTCATACAAATCTGATTTTTCCCAATTTTGCTAAAAATGCAAGGTGAACCCTTTACAATTTGAAATTTTTCATAAACATTCAAATTTGCCCAATTTTGCTTAAAAAGCAAGGTTAACCCCTTACAATTTGGAATTTTATATTCACATCTTATTTTGCCAAATATCACTAAAAAGCTAGGTTAACCCCTTACAATCTGAAATTTTCCAGAAAGATCTGATTTTGCCCAATTTCGCTAAAAATACAAGGTTCACCCTTTACAATTTGTGATTTTTCATATAAATCTGATATTGCCCAGTTATGCTAAAAATGCCAAGTTAACCCTTTACAATCTGCATTTTTCAAGAAACATCTGATTTTTCCCAATTTCGCTTAAAAAAGCAAGGTTAACCCCTTTCAATCTGCAATTTTCCAGAAACATCTGATTTTGCCCTTATTTGGCAAGGTCAACCTCTTACAATTTTTGATTTTTGATACAAATCTGATTTTGCCCAATTTTGCTAAAAATGCAAATTTACCCCTTACAATCTGAAATTTTCCATAAACACCTGATTTTGCCCTATTTTGCTAAAAAATGCAAGCTTAACCACTGACAATTTGAAATTTTTTATAAACATTTAAATTTTCCCACTTTTAATAAAAAAAGAAAGGTTAACCCCTTACAATTTGAAATTTTTCATACACATCTTATTTTGCAAAATTTTACTACAAAAGCAAGGTTAACCCCTTACAATCTGAAATTTTCCAGAAAGATCTGATTTTGCCCAATTTCGCTAAAAAATGCAAGGTTCACCCCTTACTATTTGAAATGTTTCATAAACATCTAAATTTTACTAAAAATGCAAGGTTAACCCCTTACAAGCTGCAATTTTCCAGAAACATCTGATTTTTCCCAATTTTGCTAAAATGTAAGGCTAACTCTTTGCAAACTGTTAAATCAATACATGAAGTGTCCCATTTGACTTTTTTATAACAAATTATTTTTCCAGTTTTTAGGGTAAAGGAATTTTCTCTTTTTCCTTTCTCTTTTGTTGTTGCTATATTTTGCGAATTAACTCATTCGTATGGAATGCTCATAGTCAATCAAAGAATATTTCACACATAGGGGCTTAAATTATATTTTTTTTTAAAATTTAATAGAGACGCATTGATCGTGCTATCATATATATACCATTCTATTACTATTGCGAATTACTGTATTGTTTGGAATGCTCACAATTAGACACGTTATTTGAAAGATGTATAAATAATATTTATATTACAATGTACATCTTTATTCTTTCCCGGTATAATTTATGGCGTTTCTTACGTCAATTGGCAATCGCGTCATTATATAATGATAGTCAAATTGATCAAACGAAACTCCGTTTTGATTATAGTCAATTATGAAATATTCATTGATTTATGACATACACCTTTGTTTCAATTTTGATACTACCCGTAGACCTGCTGAGCAGCTGTAGATATCAAACTAAACCAAAGTATAAAAGATAGAGGGTAAAAAAAATCAAAAAGTTATGTGCTAGTCAAGCTTTCAGGGATCGGTCTGAGCCATAACAATGCCCCAGCCGATCCCTTAGTTCTCTTCCGGGGTCTCGGTGTCCCCGACCAATACACACTTCCTTCCCTATCCATCCATATAACCCCGGAGGGCCAGGCACCATGTAAAAGCAAAGAGCTAAGGGAGGAACAGGGCGGCCCCTAAGCCCTGATCCTCCGAGTGGACCACATGCCCTGAACCTGTACGAAGGCGCCAACCTGGAACTCGCGGACAGTACCAGCAGCAGTGCTTACCGATTAAGCTAAGGTACTGTTGGTAATTTACGACGGGAAATTAAATCTCTTATAGTGAATAATTGAACTCATACGTTAAAACCAAAAAGACACCAGCGGGATTCGAACCCGGGACCCCGCTAACCGTGGACGACGAATCGTAACCACTCGGCCATTTCGTTACCTTAGAATTTTCCTTAAACTGAGAAAAGTTGTCTTTATAGGTGAGCAAACGCGCCAGGAAGATTACTGGGTCCATTTGCTTTACCTTAATGGGTAAAAACAAGTCGATATAATGAGCCCAGTGTGTTTGGTTTGTTAGGAAGCTGCATAACACAGCCTAATGTGCAAAACAGTCGTGTGCTAGGCGGATCATTACGCAACAATGAACACCGCAATTGTGTATTTTCAAAAGGCAGACGCGTAGATTTCTACTCTTTGTATCTGGGCACATATAAATTCTCACCTCCCTCTTCAGCTATTTCGCCTTTCTTAAAAAGAAAAATAGAGACTGTCAGCGAATCTCTGGGAGTTGAAATAAGGATCGTCCCCTCGATAGACCTCAGACTCAGTAAAGTTCAATATTGGGCTCTTGTTCAACAGCTGTTTTTGCGGTTACTTTACATCTGGATTTTTTAGAAGCATCTGATTTTGCCCAATTTTAGTCAAATATGCTCCAAATTTTGCTAAAAAAGCAAGGTTAACCCCTCACCATTTTAGATTTTTCATACAAATCTGATTTTGCCAAATTTAACTAAATATACAAGGTACACCTCTTACAATTTAAAATTTTTCATAAACATTTCTTTTTGCCCAATTTTGCTAGAAATACAAGGTTAAGCCCTAACAATCTGCAATTTTCCAGAATCATCTGATTGTGTCCTAATTTGCTTTTAAAAAATGCAAGGTTAACCCCTTACAATTTGAATTTTTTTCATAAACGTGTAATTTTTCCCAATCTTATTCAAAAGGCAAGGTAAACCCCTTACAATCTGCAATTTTCCAGAAACATTTGATTTTTTCCCATTTTCGCTTTAAAAAAATGCGAGGTTAACCCCTTTCAATTTGAAATTTTTCGTAACATCTAACTTTGCAAAATTTCACTAAAAAAGCAAGGTTAATCCCTTACATCTGAAATTTTTCGGAAACATCTGATTTTGCCCAATTTCGCTAAAATATGCAATGTTCACCCCTTACAATTTGAAATGTTTCATAAACATCTAACCCCATACAATCTGCATTTTTCCAGAAACATCTGATTTTTCCCGATTTTGCTAAAAAAAAATGCAAGGTTAACCCCTTACAATTTGATTTTTTTTCATAAACATCTAATTTTGCCCAATTTTACATCAGCTTATGCTAACAAATTATCAGGTAACTGGATCATTAAACGGGACAGGTGCACATCGGCCTTGGAGCTCAGACCATGTGGCATGCACTCCTCAATGCATAGATGATGCACATAACACTATGGGTAGTACAGGCACAGCTGGGGGTACTGCCCAAACAATGATGAACGCATTGCGTGTGCTTAAAGAATTACCCACAATTCCGGTTTTTACCGTTTAGGTCTGGCTCTAATCACTTTACGCGATCCCCTGACGTCTCATACACTGACTTTAGGCAAAATAGTCAGACTTTCGCGGTCTAGTAACCAGACTTTGATTCTTAACGAAACATCGAATGAAAAGGGAAACATCAAATGCATATTGCAAAAGATCGAATGCAAACATACCGATGAAACATCGAATACAAATAGCTCGAAATGTCAAACATATGTGTAAAACATTGCTCACATATTTGAGAATATCGCAAATATATTGTAAAACAACACACACAATTGTATCGAAAAACATCGCACATTTAATGCAAAAAATCGAACATAATATTGAAAACATCGCACATATATATCGTCAAAAACATTTATTCGCACATATAAATTGAAAATCGCATATAAATGTAAAACATCGCACACATATATTGAACATCGCACATATATTGTAAAACATCGCACAACTATATAAAACATCGCGCAAATAATGAAAAACATCGCACACTTATATTGAACATCGCACATAAATGTAAAAGATACTGAACGTCCAACATATATATTGCAAAATATTGAATATTGCAACGTTTGACACGCCATACAAAAATTCATATTTATCTTAATGTACCTCCCCTTTTAGCCAAAACTATACCAATTGCTTCTGATTTTAACCCTCAGGGATTCGATTGCAAACTGGGCCTCAATTTTGCCCTATTTGCTCCCAGGCGGTGAGCTTCAGGAGGAATTAGGTTTTTTTGTTTTTGTTTTCTTTACAATCCATAGCGTGAAACCGAAATCTGACGGCTGAATAAAAGACTAGACAGAAGTACAGGCTCTTTTAACTAGGGAAAATCATTAAATTATACAAAGTCATTTTTAATTTATGTTTAAAGACAACAATCCAAAATGTATTAAATATATGTCATAGTAAATATTTAATTGTTAAAATATGAATTTTAAAATTCAAAGATTTTGCTATACATTTGTTATTTGTTATGTATGTATTTGAAAAAGCCAAATATGGCTGCGCCCTTGTCCCACTGAATTACATATTGGAAACGGACGGTCGATAGCTAACATAACAGTACAGTAACACTGGTGCCTACGGTACGGGAGATTTAAAGCCATGGTTTGTGAAAAGTGTAAGTTAGACTACCTGAGAAATTATAGCGATCGTCACGAGCAGAGGGCACTGTTTCTGTGATTGACTGATTCAAGCGCAAGTTTTGTCAAGGATTGTCTGAAAAACAATCCTTGAAAATATGCCGGGGGGGGGGGGTATGCGGAGGGGGGGTATGCTGGGGGAGGTGGGGGAGGGTATGCCGGGGGGGGGGGGGGAATAAAAGCCCCATAAAATGTGGCTCTAATACTGGTCATGCTGGTCTTCCTGAGCTCCGTCAGTGTCCGTGTCGAGCGCAATTTGAGTCCCCCACGCAAGTTTAAACTTGCGCGCGCAAGTTTAAACTTGCGCAAGGGACTCCTGAAGCACGCAAATTACACCGCGCCATTTTAATTTGCGTGCGCAAGTTTAAACTTGCGCAAAGGCGATTGCAACCTTCTTTTGCGGGCGGGATTTTCATTGATGAAGATTTTTTTTTTCAAAACACGAGTACATGGAGAAATAATGGAATATATGAATGAATAAAGAAATAAATAAAAAGGGGAATTCAATTAGCGTCAATGAAAAGAAACATTGAGATTTAGCAGTGCTTATCAGAGAAGTTGTTTAAGGGTACGTGGGGGCGGGGCCGGGGAGGGGACCGGGCAAGCAATAAACTTAAGCACACTAGCGGCGATTGCTTGGAAAGTGTACTGAAGTTGTTCAATAATGGAGACCAGCTTCAAGTTTTTTGCTTTGTAAACCTAATTGGCATTTTATTTATATTCTTGAATGTAAATAAATCATAATTTCCTAGGGCTGGTGTAACCCGCTGTTAACGTAAAAAGAATGATTATGATCCCTTCAATTGTTCAAGTTTTGACATTATAGTAATCATTTACATTATTTTTAAAATGCTTATGTATTCTACAATTAAAAAAGTACTTATTCTTAAAAAAAATACTAATTAATTTAACAATTAATAAATTGGACGGTACAATAATTCATATTGTTTTAGAATACTTGCATAACATTTCGAGCGCTGTGTACACTTCAAAAATGCGTAATTTGAAAAAAAATTTAATGAATGCATTACTAATTTAATTAATTAATTAAATTTATTACTTTAACAAATATTGTTTTATTGCAGGCTCAATAATTCATATTAAAAAATGTTTACAACTTAAAAACGGTATGCATATAAAATGGTAATTATTTTAAAAATTATTTCAAATTTGCAAATGATTTAATTAATGAATTTAATAAAATGTTTCAAAAAAAGGCATTAAGGCATTGTCTCCCGAAGCTCAGTGATGCTATTAAATCGGAGAAAAAAATCTGCTTTAAAAATAATGTTACATACCTGCATGAGTTTACCAGGGAAAAATAGTTTAGCGGCTCTGTATGCGTGGCCGGGAAAATCTATGCAGTGCGCAAGTTTAAACTTGCGTGCACAATTTGTAGCAAGGAAATGAATGCGCGCGCAAGTTTAAACTTGCGTGCGCGCAGGTTAAAACTTGCGCGGGGGACTCACTTTGCGCTCGACATCCGTATTGAAAGCTGTGTGTTGAGGAAATCGAAATTTGGCTAATTGGAATCGTTTAGTTTAGTTTAGGACACCTCTTGTTTTACAATTTCCGCTCATAAATCAAAACCCTGCCCTCTTTCCACAGAATTAATCCAGCTGATATTCAACATGGTATCGTATTTCTTAACAAATTAGATGATTCCAAACACACATTAAAATTTAAATGATAAAGTTGCTTTTCCGGCTTGTGCCATAGGCAAATTTTTAATTTAGGCAGCCTATTAAAAAATATTATTAAGTCCCAAGGCAGTGTGTCTTTTCGTTCTCTTGTATGGAACAGGGTCCTAAACTACATGACTAACTATGTTTCTCACTTAATATTCACTATATTAAATTCACTATATTAAACAATTGATAGGTGCATAATTCACATAAATGAATTTATGTCAATTGAGTCCTTTGACATAGTTAACGGTGTTAAAGTACAGAATTGTTATCTTTTTTTTCCAGGTGAGAAAAAACTTGGAAAAGTTATAACTCCTGATCCATGGAAATCTGGAGCCAGAAACACAACAGGTGAGGAAGGGTTATGTGCCTAAGGTTATTCAACATTGATTTTTAGGTTTTCATCCCTCAAGGCTCAAGCTTGAAAAAAAATCGGTCAGGAGGGGAATTTATATTTTATATTATATGGTATAAATTCCTGCTGCAAAGCTGTTGTACATACATTCACGGAAAGCGTCCTTGGGACAATAACCCCAAACCATGGCTTGAAAACCTTCACTCCACTCGGGGTGATTACGAAAGGCATGATGCAGGGTTTCAACAAACAACGCAACAGTTGGCCTACCCTTGCCAGCTAGATGTCAAACTTTGAACTTGAAAAACATACGACCACGAGTACTGTACAACACGCGCTCACTGTATGGTGCCGAGAGCGTTGTCGTATCAATACCACATTGCCTCGCTATGGCATGCATAACACCTCAGTATGTTGTGCACAATGTTTGCGTGCAAATCAGTGCGACCGTGCCTGTGGATTTGGTGAGAAACTGGTCTGGAAAATACACTTTTTTTCAGAAAAAAACCTAACCTTCAGAAAAAAAACAAATTAAATGTAAATACAATCGGGGCAGGAGTTAAAATCAAGGCGAAAAGTGATGAAAACCTAAAAATCAATGTTGAATGGCCTAAGTAAAAATGATAATGTCCACTGGCATGACTGGAGATGATAGCATTTATGTTCTTCATTTTAAGTCTCCAAAATATCATCCCATCAAACTGTTCCTTAGCTCTGCCTAAGGACTATGGACTTCATGCAGCTACTGTAGATAGCGCTCTATGACCAGTCATGAGAGCTCCTAACATGCCCAAGGAGGAGGTTCATTGTGTGCACGTACTGTTGCATGAAATAAAATTAGATTAGAAAGTTAGATTTCCTTTCCCCCATTATCAGTATTGTCATAAATCTACACAATTATGTATTAAAACTGTATTTTATGTTTGTTTTTCAGAGAGTGGGGGTCGGAAGGTTGGAGAAAACAAGCTGCTGACTGGCAAAAAAGCGAGGTCTGTTTCAATCCCCTTATACCCAACTCCCCCCCCCCCCCGAACAAAAACTTTGAATTCTCTGTAGTCGAAATGAAATGCCCCATATTCTAGTAAACACCGTTTGTGCACAAGTAAAGGGGGGGGGATGTTGTGCAGTGAGCGGTAAGTGAAAAGCTTGTGATGGTCTTGTGATGGTCTTGTGTTGGTCTTGTGATGGTCTAGTGATGGTCTAGTGATGGTCTTGTGATGGTCTTGTGATGGTCTTGTGATGGTCTTGTGATGGTCTTGTGATGGTCTTGTGATCGTCTTGTGTTGGTCTAGTGATGGTCTTGTGATGGTCGTGTTATGGTCTTGACTACGACACTACGAGAGTGAAGCCATTCCCAGATTGTTTGCAAAGTGTGCGTGCCTCTGTGATAGGCCCGTAACACCCCAACTAAAGCATCACCCCAGCTATAGTTGGGACGAACCCAACTATAGTTGGGATCATCCTAATTATAGCTGGGACTTCCCCAACTATGAAGTTGGGACTGTCTCAACTGTAATTGGGGACATTGCTATAGTTGGGGCATAGCAGGCTTATATACTAGCATAGTAAATGCTCAATAAAGCTGTATGTGCCAAATGTACTGGGCAATTTCGATCATTGTCATTGTTATTTTCTGCTTCAGGTACAACCCTTACACAAGACAGTTCAACAAGTGTCGGATATGCAAGCAGTCTGTACATCAAGTTGGCTCGCACTACTGCCAAGGGTGTGCATATAAAATAGGTAAGTCAACAAGTCACTGAACTCAAGTTGTGCGTCAAGTCTGTCACAAGTCATATCGCAAGTCGGAATAGCGGTACTTTCCTCACCATTCAACGATGGGACCGGGGTTTGATTCCCCCCCAGGGCCAACTCATGGATTAGTCCCGTTATAAAGCCATGGTACTGCTGCGTCAAACTAAATTTGACTTTAAAAAATTTGGCACAACGATAGCACAGCATGTAGAATCAGGCACAGCTTGATAGAGTCTGCCATGCTATCGTCTTTTGAAACGGCAGTAGCACGGCACTGCTCTTAACGCCGTGCCATTGCCATGCCCAACTCAATTCAATTTGAAGTTGAGGCAAACATTTTAGGAATGCTCACAATAACCTCTCTCGCGTTCGCATCGCAGACAGTGAATGTGGCGCGAATTTTTGATGGCGCAAAGGGCATTGAGGTGACTGAAAAATGATTTTAACAATGGCAGGCTGCTGTGGATGCCTTTAGTTCGACTAATTAAGTCGGCGATTAGAGCAACTGCTGTGGTATAGCTACTGCACAGCTCAATTCTATTTAGTTCGGCACGGCAGTGGTACAGTGTTTATGAATGGGGCTTTGACATTTAGTCCTTGCCTAATTCTTTGAGATTTCTCAGAAATATTCTCAAGGATTCCTCCACCCATCTCCGATAAATTACTTTCTCTGATGAATACAGATGATGGAACTATATTTATGAGTGAAATAATCTTTTCTTTTCTTGTTCTGCAGGGATTTGCGCAATGTGTGGCAAGAAAATCCTGGACACGAAGAAATACAAGCAGACATCTGTATAGCCGTTACATATTCGTTCTACATTGGTAACATTTTTCTTGACAATGATGAAAACCTTCCCCCTGTACCATGTACTGCCCTCTTTCTGCGGTTCCAAGTTTTCTGAGGATGCAAATGTCTTAACCCTAAAGGGGCCGGGTTATTTTGACCATCTCTCAGCCGGGGGGGGGGGGGGGGGGGGGGGGGGGGGGGGGGGGGGGGGGGGGGGGGGGGGATTCCGCCCCCCCCTAAGATCTCGGCCATCAAGTGACGAAAAATTTTGAAACTCAGCACATGCATAGAGCAACTCTTCTTAAACATGCCCAAGAAATTTCATGACTATAGGTCAAAGGGTTTTGGAATTATGGCTAATTAATTATTCATATGTATGAATGGCAATTCTGCTCGGTGTACACGACGTATATGCGAAAATTCAGTTTTCACGGTGCGTAGCGCCGGAAAATTTTCGCTACGTGCCAACCCGTGGTCCGATTTTTATGTTTTTGGTATCAAAAGATGCGCAAAGCTCGAGGCTAAAAAGTCATAACAGCTCGGGTCGCGAAAAAATTTTTTTTAGAAGTTATCGCGGAAAATGTTGAGGGGGGGGGGCGGATTCCGCCCCCCGGCCCCTTTAGGGTTAATAAAAGAAAGGACTTCCTATTTGGAAGCTGATCAGTAAAGCATGCCGCATGGGGTTCAAAGAAAGATGGTACCTTTGAAGGGCTCAGAAGTTTATATATTTTTTTTTTTAGTCTTTGTAAAATACGTATTTGAATTGTTGTGATTAAAGTGTTGGGATTTTCATTTATTTTTTAGTGTTTAAAGAAAGAAACGTGTTTGCTTTTTTTGTTGTGGAAAAGCATAGCACACAAGGCTATGGGGATTGTAACTGATCTGCAAACTGCAGTGAAATGAGCCATTTGCAAATTAAATTCGAGTAACATCTGGTACCCCAAGTTGCTCGAATGCTTGGCACATTGTAACTTTGAGTTCTCCAGACCAAAGAGACTGTTGCTATATCATGTGATTCAGGGCAAGCCTTACGCTAGCAACCCCCACTCCGGCATGGTCTGGTGTCTTTGTGCCATTCTCACCCATTGTGAGCAACGTATTGGTGCTGAGCGTCTCTTACGTAACTATGCAAGAGCTTGCCCCGAATCATGTGATATAGCAACAGTGTCTTTGGTCTGGAGAATTCAAAGTTAAAATGTGCCAAGCATTCTGAGCAAGTCAGTGTACCAGATGTTATTCAAATGTAACTCGCAAAGGGTATAGTTTATTCGCAAATGGCTTATTGCAGATTGTTGTACATAATATGTAATATACTCCTAACACTATGTATGGAACATGCTGTAGTTTGAAGTTTTCGAAATTTGTACCAACTTCCGATCACGATATATTTTTTTTTGGGAGTGTCATACGTACCATCCTTTATAACTTTTCTTGCAAAAATGGCCCATTCCTTATGCGTAAAGGACTATCGTCAAATCATGTGTGCAATGTGCAATTGAAATATCAAACTGACTTCTTCATCCCTGTTTACAAGCAGTAGAAACCTGGACACATAAAATGACCATTTCACATTTCGTTACTTACATTAAAGGCATTGCATGTGGTTTAATGATCTCAGTGTCTCCTTAAGTGTAAACAAAGTAAACAAAGTGCGACGTCATCAGTACAGAGGCTTATTAAATACGAATGCATTAAAATTATGATTAGGAATACTTGTACATAGTGTACAATATACATGAAGTTTTCCTTTTTATAAGCAACATACAGTGAGAGAGTAATTGATGAAAGAGTAATTGATGACAAATATTTGGCAAAAGCCAAAACCATGTATTATTTAAAGTTATACACAAGTAATTGTTTATGTTATTAGTACACACTGATTGCTTTCTGACGTTCAGTTGTCTATTTGATGGCAGGGAATGCAGAAATTGAGCAACAATCTTTTCTCATTGGACAAGATGCTCTATGTCACTGGTTATATTGGCCAAACATTATTGGGCTCGGTCACAAACGTGAATGGTGCATCTGCAGCACCACTAGATTTGCCTCTTAGAGTTGTAGTCACTTTCAACTCGACATTATCACAAGCCACTTGACTACTCATCTCTGCCAACAAGTATTTGATGTCAAGATACATACATCCAGACATTAGGCCTTTTCACTCTATCGGAACTGGTCACCATTGAACACGGGTAGGCAAGGTATACCTTTCACACTTACACCAAGGTATACAAGGGTCGGCTGTCAATTCTGGATTTTCTACCCGGGGTAGAACTTCTCAACCCTGGTCCCGACCAGGGTTGGATTTTACCAGTGTGGAGTGCCAGACCCGTGTAGAAGCCGTGTTGGATTCTGGCTAGTGTGAAAGGGGTTCCTGAAATCTCTGTGTTGGACCCGGCACGAACACATATTTTGGATAGTGAGAAAGGCCCCTATACAGGGTGGCAAAAAACAACGGAACCTCATACTTCCACTACCCCGAGGTTCAAACCACATATACCAATGCATGGAGAATATTTTTAGAACAGAAATGAAACCAAGGTCGCCTGATTCCGTCCAGTAGTTTTTGTTCTAGAGCCTATTTTGTGAAGCAGGGTGGGGCATTTTGGTCCCGACGAATTACTAAACCGCGCCCGGGAATTTGACTTGCATTGTAATTGATAGAGGGATTGTTATATACCCACATGAAAGAAGTGTGCTTCACAAAATAAACAAAAACTACTGGACCGAATATTTTGGTATCATAATTCTTCTAAAAGGATTCTCCATCAATTGGTACAGGTGGTTTGAGTCTCAAGGTAGTGGAAGTATGATTTTTTTTGGGGGGGGGGGACCACCCTGTGTAATAAACAAGGTTCTGATAAATTATTCTGAAAGTTCTTGCAGAAAGCTCTGTAGACCCCCTTTACAAGACAGTGTGTAAATACTGTATTTTTTGTCTCAATTAGCTAACTTTGAATGACCAATGTAATATGTATGTAATTTGTATACTTTAACTGTAAATAAACGATCTGTGTCAAGTAAACGTGTGCTTCGAGCTATTTAACATTACAAACATTTCATTAAGCATGCATTAAACATAATAAGTGGCATTTTAAGTAATTTGAAGAAAAAAAATTAAAGCAGTATCATTGATTTGTTTTTAAAAAATCTTCAGCTGCTTTAAAAAAGAGAGCTTAAAACATTTGTCACTTCAGTAACAGATACAATGTGTAATTTACTCATAATACACAGTGTTAACTGCAGTTTCATGTGAACATTAAAACAATGAAAACATTTTGTTTGACTGGTTTGCAAAACAATGTTACATCTTTCGTATAATATTCTTATACATGTACATTTGCATGTATGTTCCCACTAAAGCTTACCATCTTTCTGGTATTTCCAATTTGGTCAGTTTTCAAATGATATACAGTTAACTGTCCAAAATTTATGGGCTACATTTTGCTTGAGCAGGTTTTTGTGTTTGCTTTTACTACTTGGCATACATTTATCCAACATAAAATTCACTCTGAATTTGTTCCCCCTCAATTAATAAATATCAATTCAGGAGAAATTATGGATATGAAAAATACATGTACAATCATCAAAAATGTGACAAACATGTACATGTAATACTACTAATAAAAAATCATTCAAAGTCAGAATAAGTTCCAAATTGAATAAGGTCAGGGAACCAGAGTACGAGAACAACATTTTTTCTTCGTGGTTTTCCAGCATCTGTGAACACAAAACTTTAAACAGGTCTGCGTAACAATATTTGCTATAAAATACTAGCCCCCAAATCTATCAATTTTCTGACAATTACAGCAAAAGAAAATGTAGTATATTTTACATTTAAACTGACCCAAATGATAGAATGGCATACAGAATAGTGATGAAAAGTTTGCTTTGAAGTTGTAAGCAGTCTTTTCTACTTGGCCGTTTGACAATTCTGCTTGTCATCAGCCAAGAATAAATTTAGTTGCAGGAATTTCAAACTTTCAACCTTGCTGTAAGTCCCTCCCTCCAAAAAAAAACCTATTTAAGGCCCAAAAAAAAAGTCTCCGGTTTCTGGTATGCACGCGCGTCGCCGTAGCCATGCGCGTCGGCAAAATGAAAAAGGTTTTTTTTTTCAATGAAAGATGATGTCTCAAAACCGCCAAACTCACTGGTTTGACTGGAATCCTGCTGCTGCACAATTTAAACGTGTTTTTAGACTGGGATATGGTCGAGAATAAGCTTTATGTGGCCTCTCTGGAGTCCCATATATTTGCACTAAGTTTAGTCAGGCACCATTTGCAGTCATCAGCAGACATTTGAAGCAAAAAAATCAGGTTAAAAAAAAAAAAAAGCTGCGTCGCCGCACCACTTTTTGGGCAAGCTCCATACCAGAAACCAGAGACTTTTTTTTTGACCTAAAGATGAAGTAATAAAAACATCCATACTTAAGAGAAAGCAAACTGGTTGAAGTCGTGTATGCTGACAAAAATAAGTTCAACGTACATTTTCAAATGTAGCTTATCATCAGATTCAAGCACAAAAAAAACATTCTTGTCTAAATATTTACAAGAAAAACTTACAAAAATATGTAGACAATAAGCTTCAATTGAGGAAAAATGGTGAAAATTACCGACTTACTAAAAGCGAAGTGCTGCATGGAAAATTATAATACAATAATGGTGAATATTACATTTGCTGTTTTTAACAGTAAAATCAAGCTGCGGGAAATCTAAATTCTGAATAGTTACTTCTACAACCTGACAACACTGAATGAAATTGTACAAGTGTCTACATACTGAACTGAGTACAACACATGTATCTGAAGTTCAACAAATAATTTTTTAAAATTCCAATAAACGTTACCACTGTAAACTGTACAATTCCTTTTGATATTGCTTTATGCACTGTCCAACCTGCCCACGTGGCAATTATCATTCGTAACCATACCTCATACATATTCATGATCGAAAACCAAATTCTCAACGGTCCATTTCTCCGTCACGTGTCTGCCGCTAGTTTTGCTGTTTATCAAGCGCGCATGCGAGGATTCACGCACAGGGTAAATTATGCATGCACACTACAAGTGCGCTTTTCCAACCAATTGGAGGAACTAGCTAGCCAACGGGGGTAATGCACAGGCCCGAACATTGCCCTAGCAACATGAAAAGATGGGGCACACACCCAGCAACGTTTTGACAAGATAACTGACGTGTACAGTCGCGCGACAACATTTTGGCGAATATGTATGAGGTATAGTCAAACAAACATGTTAAACATGGATTATTTCGGGTGGATAGTTGATGTCAGCTCCCCTTAAGTTTTGGAGCACTGCACCGGGGAGCTAATATCCACTATCCACTCTCTAACCATGTTATATTTGTAAAATACAGAGTAGTCAAAAAAAAGTTTACACTTTTTCAAAGGCAGATTTCTCAAAATTGGGGAGACCGTTGAAATGTGTTAATTATTCTTAAACTACAAGATCTTGGTGGTAAGTGGTGAAAACGGCGTTGAAAATAAAGCTCAAGTTAAGAAAAAGCGGCCATTTACAGAAAAGTGGTCACAAACTATTTTGTCCAAGTCTATGGCAGTTCTGTAGACCTAACTTACATTATTGCAGTTCTTTATGCATGCAGTGCTACTGTGTTGACTGTATCTCATAGATTTGCGTGTGGACTAACTGGTTTTTGACCATCTTTCTTTAAAACCATCGCCATTTCTTAATTCAGGCTTTATTTTCAGCGCCGTTTTCACCATACACCACGAAGATGCTGTAGTTTAGGAATATCTTAAAACAATTTTAACATGTCTCCCCAATACTGAGAAATCTGCGTCTGGAAAAGTGTAACTTTTTTGGGGGGACCACTCTGAATAACCCTTGCAGGAAAGAAGCAGTAAGGCACTCACTCAGCTGTGTTCCACAAAATAGACTGATTTCAAACTCGCATCAAAACGAAGGTTCTCAGTAATCCTTTTGTGTCGAGAACAAGGACTGAAACAGGAAAAGATCTCCAAAAAAGGAAAAGATCCACAATGGCTTTGCACTGAGAGCCTTACATTTGATGCTTATTTGGAATCTGTCTGTATATCATGGTTAACAATGCCACTCAAATTCTAACTACATGTACATGTACAAGAAAATTCTTTTAAAAATGATCTCAATCAATTAAAAGCAAGATACTTGTTCATTGCAAGTTCGTTTAGTAATATTGAGCAATGTGATGTTAAGATAGGGGGGTGGGTAGGGGGATGGGGTGAGGGTGGTAGGGGTAAGGGTGGTGGGGAGAGGGAGGGATGGTGACACTGTCCCATTCATCGTTTTTGTTAACAAATTCTCACTCTTGTCAGAAAATCATGACTGTGTTGACACATCATGTCATCAGATGGTGCCCCCATCTGTCAAATTGTGTCAATCTGGAAAACTTTTTGAAATGTACAAAAGTCACTCTAGATACATGTATATATACACATGTATAGAAGATTTAGTATTTAGCAACATTCATTACGATGTTGTAAGTGTGTGTTTTTAACAATTCTTTGTTGGGTAAATGAATGGATGTAATAATATTAATATGAAATTTGATTTCTTATTTATCATTCTTCATGATTACGGCATTTCAGACGGAGCATGTGCAGTCCATTTACTTTACTGAAAATCTGTAAGCTTTCACTTTATAATGTTTACATGGCGGACAAAACAAGAACTTGTGAAGCCTGTGATAACACACATAATTCTCAACTCTCTATTGTGTATTTTAAGTTTGTACATGTATATACATGTACATTGTGGATATTTTTTTCTAACGTAAATGCCAACTGTGCTTTACAAACTTGTGTCGTAAACTTCATCTGCACAATAAAAGTGGGGGAAAAGGAGAACATTTAGATTAACCCTTACCCTACTAGACCCTCCAACGCATGCCAATATGTGCCTCAAGAAAATCTCCTATGTTTTTTTGCATGGCCCTCCAATATCTGCCATGTCATTTCAAGGGTAACTGGACAGGCACTCCAATACATGCCACAGAGAACAATGAGAGTCCTCTGATAACAATCAAGTGCCCCCAGCTGGTCAGTATCAGGCACCCTCCAGGGCCTCCAACTCCTGCCAATTGGAGCCTTCACTGCTACATCAAAGTATCCTCCAATAAACTGCAGCTGGAGGGCATTGGCATAACCAACTGACATGCAGTAAACTACCCTCAGAGAGTAAGGGTTAAAATTAAAGTAAAGCAATGCTGATTGTCACACAAAAAAAAACTCTTCAAATGTCCCAAAACATTAGATCTAAATACTAGGAACTATTTGTCAGAACTCTGCTGTATATGTTTAAATACATGTATTGCAAAAGCTGCGTGCCTTCAGTTCATTTTACATCAAACAAAACAGAAACAAAAATAAATGGGCCGAAATTGACAGATGTCGCATCTGTGATTTGTTGCCTAGCAAATAAACTTAATAGAATGGTATTGAACAAGCCTCTTTAAAACAGGGTTCGCTCATAAGTTTGACGCCTCATAGGTCCGATGCCTCATATGAGGCGTCGGACTTATGAGGCGTGTCGGACTAATATGAGGCATACAATTTATTTACGCCGCATAAGTCCAACGCCTCATAAGTCTGAAACAGCATTTGTCCATTGTCGGACTTATGAGGCATCAGACTTTTGAGGCGTCGGACCTATGAGGCGTCGCACTTATGATACGGCCCCTTAAAACTTCCTTTTATTGTAATATCATGAAAAGTATAGTGTACATGTATGCCGAAACAATATAAACTCTGTGAAGGGCCAATATGACTCCTTTTTGGCAGATTTTAAAAACAAGCTATAGCAATCAGCAAACATGTCTCACCAGGTACATGTATTTGGGAAAACTTTTAAGACACTTGCTAGCAGCCAACAATCTACACTCTGTTCTTCTTAATGTCCAGAAAATGGAGGTTTTGTGTTTAAACCGCCATTTTGTTCATCTGTCTTTAGGACAAAGATGTCCCTGCAGCCAATTTCACAAAAATTTACGCCAATGGCATGACTCCACTTGCGCCACAATTTATTGTGCATTGAAGTTAACATTTCATGCTGCGCAACACTTCAGTTATGACAGATTTCACAAAAGTTTCATAATATGTAATTCCACAACTTGTACAACAAATTATGTCGTAACTTGCGCAATCATTTTAGGTGGCATAACTTTGTGGCGTAGTGACTGAAAATTACCGGTATTTTATATGTGACAGAATTTTTTTTTTTAAGCTGCTGCACGATTCCCAAAAGAAAATCGGCCAAACTGTTTTCATAATGGCGGACGGAGATGGCGAACGCTCTCATGTAAGTGTTACTTACACGTACATGTATAAGCTAATTGAACGACCAATACCATCTCATATAAATATGTTCAATGATCATGCAACACTGATTCAAAAATTCTGTGCTCAGGATGTGCATGGGGAGTCTTCTACGCAAAGCAATGGGGAATTTGGGCTCTTAATTTAATATAGCTCCATGACCAACTGAATGAAAACAGCTTGTTTGCTGCTAGCAGACATCTTAAAAGTCTCCCACTGTCTTGTGCGCATAGGCACACAACAATCATAAGATTTGTTTCTCCCCAAATCTGATTATGAGTTACAATTCCGATTCCAAATGAAATGAGTAGTACCATTGCACGTCCACTCAAATTTACGTCACACCACACATTACTACAGATACTGGCGAGGATCTTGCAGGAGAGATCGGGTTAGTTGTGTTTTTTTTTAGATGGCCACGTTGGAGGCGATTGGGGCCTTGTCCGAGGATGGGTCCAGAACCGGCCGGTCCCTGATGCGACGAATGGTGATAGAAATGAGGAGTACCAACCAGAATAAGACACCAAACCATGAGGCACCCTAAAGTACAAAAGAAAAAAGTGAATGGAAAGTAAATATACAGTGCAGGAACCATTACATAGAAAACGGACAATAATATACATGTGAAATATTGATATCATCAGGGCTCAATTTCATAGCACTGCTTAACGGCCGCTTTGGTGCTTACCGAGCCTCCATCTATTTCATAGAGACCGTAAGCAGTAAGCACAGCAAAAACATACTTTATAACCCAAGAGTACAACGTTGCTTAAATCAGTGACGTAATAGAAATCTTCATGTGCGCGCAACCATTGGCACATCCACATCATGAAATAGAGCTTAAGCATGACTTTCTGCTATAGTAAAGACAACTTTTCTGTGACTTTTAAGCCCGGCGCACACCTTCCCGATTTTACCCGTTTTCCGGATCACCCAATCAACGCTACATTACCCGCACACTTGCCCAATTCCGTCCTAAAATCGGTCACATAATGATCAGTGACATGATGACCAGTCACATGATGATAACCAGTCACATGATGACAACCAGTCACATGATGACAACCATGTGACGTACTTTGTGAATCTGATTGGTCCGGTGAAATCGTATCCGGAGAAATCAGATGCGAAACAATCAAAAAAGGTTTGATTTCATCCGGGCGCCCGGTTTACTCTAGACTTGATGACAAGTCGTTAGACTATAGTGGTTTATGTCCGTCATCAGCGCCAGAATCTGCATACCACCGCCGTTCATGCAACGTAAGCGCTACAACCATTCATGCAAAAGTCATGTACATACTACCGCGCGGCATGGTCAGAGCACACGCATGGGGTCGAAAATGTACGTAGCGTCCTCGCTACTAGGACAGCATGCGGTACGTCGTACCCCCGGCACAGAGCTTGGCAGTCGCGCACTGCGGACGCGATTAAAACCACTCATTACAGACTTGATTTCAAGTCTAGGTTTACTCAGATGATCGGTCTGAATTTTCAGCACATGCCTCTGGTGAACTGGTAAAATTGGAAAGGTGTACGCTGGCCTTTAAGTAGCGCTATGAAATTGGGCCCAGATAAGAGAGGTTTGGCATTGAAACAGATTCCATCAATTTGGGGTGTACGGTACTTTTTTTCCTGTCCCTGTTACACCCGTCGTGTTTCATTTGTAATTCTGGTTTCACTCCTTCATGTATTCTTCCTCTAAGATGTGAAACAAATGATCTACCCAACAAAAAAATGTTACTTTGAAGTCATTTTTGATGACACTTGAATGGCAAATTACAAAGTTCAGAGGTAACAGGGACAGGAAAATGGCAGACTTTAGATGCTACATTTATAAAATGACCCACATGTAAGCAAATGTTTACTAGATCCAAAAACCATGAACAGCTAACGCCCAAAAAAAAAAGTCTCTGGTTTCTGGTATGGAGCTTGCCCCAAAAGTGGTGTGGCGACGCGGCTTTTGTTTTGTTTATTTTTTCCTTTTTTTTCCTTCACATGTCGGCTGATGACTGCAAATGGTGCCCGACTAAATTTAGTGCAAAATGTATTGGAGCCCAGAGAGGCCACATAAAGCTTATACTCGATCGTAACCCCATCTAAAAACATGTTAAAATTGTGCAGCAGCAGGATTCCAGTCAAACCAGTGAGTTTGGCGGTTTTGAGACATCATCTTACATTGAAAAAAAAAAAGTTTTCATTTTGCCGACGCGCATGGCTACGGCGACGCGTGCGCATATCAGAAACCAGAGACTTTTTTTGGGGGGGGGCCTAATCCAATGTTTCACATTTTTAGAAACCACAAACCATACATCATAAGCACTTAATTTTGTAAAAATCAGATCATGCATGATTACATGTACATGTACACATACCTATCAATTTAAAACCTTAAAAGCAGGTAAAATTGACAAGTTACTATGCATTATACAAGGATCTGCATAGCGAGCAAAAGTTGATGGCCCACCTGGCATGCATTCCATATACATGTACCTCTGCATGCAAAACGTTCCTTTTGTTGCATGGCTTAATTCCAAATGACTGCTAACCAAATGAGCAAACTTTGTACACTACACCTATGCCCAATCACAGAAACCCAGGTTTAAGCAATACAAGGTGGAAGAATGAGTTGTAGTGCCCTTGCGTACCGGTAGTTCTAAAAATTGCTTTCTTCACCACAAGAGGGCCTGTATATATGCTGGGAATATTGTGTAGGAAAAAACCTGGAGCCGATTTCATGAAACTCGTCTTATCTTACGACTCATCTTAGGACTTAAGATGAGTCACTGCTCTAAGATCGATTCTACATGTAGCTACATGTATATTGTGTAAGACTCGTCTAAAGACCGATTTCACTAAACGCATCTAATAAGCAAGCGTTTTAATACCACTTTTTGATAGAACACTCGCGAAAGTTGCAGTTTACACAGTAAAACATATAAAGCTCACTGCACACACTGCACTGATGTACGTGTTCTACCTAACCCCCGAGGACCGACACACAAAGGGAGAACAACAGATCCTTTCAGTTCTCGGGCGTTGTGTTTTTGTTCAAAACGGTCCTCTGTAGTACAATGTAGGTTCGTGTGCTTAGTCTATGGGAGAGTGTTATATTACATGGAAAAGGGAAACACAAAGCATTGTCCTCGGGAGCATAGTAAAACAAGAGTGTATGTACATGTACATGTAGTAGTATCATGTGGATCTTTATGAACAATCTGAACAGCAATATCCAAGATTTGAATTTTGGGGTTGGGTTTCTTTAACGTGTGCCCGGATACCCGTGTTTTTTTCAATCAGGCACCCTATTCCCAAACTACCTTTAATGCACACCCCTAACGCGTACTGCTTTGTGCGCGTATGGTGCGAAGTACACTTGGCTAATAATATTTCGTTTTGCACAAGCTCATAGCGTCTTTGCGTGAGGTTCAGACGTTGTCACATGTAGCATTCCAGTGGTTTCTCCCAACTCTCCCATTGTAACCATTGCAGGGATACTTTTGCATGGAGTCCATGGTTACTGAAGAGTTTTCCCTTCAATTCAGTAGAGCCATGAAATTTGGATTCGATAAAGCTCGCAAGCATGCATGCAAAAAAAAAACACTAGGTGTTTCTCATCAATCATAAACACAGATACCTTTAACCCTAACCGCCCTGAATCCTTCAAATCCTCTTTGCCAAAGTGGAGGAATTTGGGGGATGGAGGTTACATGGCGAAAGCCCATTACTGATTCCGAAGGATGCACTTTGTCAAGGTCTTGGGCCGGACCTTGTGTTGTTTTTGCTCAGCCATGCATAAATATGGCCTGAATTACAATGTGTGCTTGAAATCCTCTGTACTGCTCCAGGATGGCACTGGCCAAGCCTCAACATATTGACAGTCACTGCCACTGGATTTTGCAGGATTCAGGCAGTGGTTACCCCTCTGTGGACCATATTTCAGGCATGCAACTGGGAACTTAGGAAAAAACGAGGAAATTCCGAATCACACAAGACTTTGTACAGTGGTTTTCAATTTGTAATGGCATTCATGAGAAGTAAAAAACGAGGAAATCAGCGGATCCGAGGAAAAGTTTCATGCCTGATATTTCCAGAAATAATGGAGGAATTTGCAGGATTGAGGCTATATGCTATTTTTCCATGAGGCCAATTGGAGGATTTGCAGGATGGATCGAGGCTACATTCCTAGCAAAAGAGCCTAGGGAGTTAGGTTTAATGTCTATACTGTAAAAACCAATCATAATTATCATTGAGTGCATGTGTTCACACATGATTACTTACATGTACTTTGTACAATTAGCTAAGTACATGTACTGACGTACATGTACAAATTGTACTCTGTAAAACTGAATGGTGCACTTTCCACCCTTGTTCTTTGTAATAAACATGGGCTCTCTTGTTTTGGATTTTTGTTTTCATCGGGACTAGGCAAGTTCAAGTACTTTATATTGTTTACAGGATGATTAGACAGACAGAACGAGCGAAGGGATCAACACTTAACAAAGCAAAGGTCAGGGGAGGTGGGGAGAGCGGCTGGTTAGGAGGCTAGCATCGAGGGTTAGGGTGAAGAAAAGAAAACAGTTGCGACACTCAAAAATTTGAACAGCAACATTGTGTGGTTAATTAAGTATAGGTGATATGCACAACAGACCATACAGTAATTGTCCAATTATCATTGATAGTGACAATGTAACTCGTTTATCTCATCTTTTCACAGAGCATTGTCGGCTTGTAAAATACAAAATGTAACGTGGCAGAGGGCTTTTGTCTGCATGTACATGACTAGCCCAAGTTGGACGACGTCTTTATTGCATTACGACGGACGTCCAGGGTATAAATTGTACCACCATAGCGCAAAAAATTATAACACACTTTTTGCATATTTTTACCTGACGGAGGAAGCTGAAATTTCGCTTACATATTCCTTGAGTCGAGAACTGTACATGTATGCGCTGGGTTTAGAAAAGGCAAACATGTCCGTGGGCAGCACATTTACCGAAAATAAACCGCAAGTCTACGGTACGTTATCGTTGAAAACATTTTCAGTACGAACTCCCCGCCTGAAGACGTACACGCGCGTGCCGTATGCTGCCGTGGCGGCAGCGTGCTTGGTGTGCGCAAGCGCGCGTGTAATCTTCACACGGGGAGTTTGACTGAAAATGTTTTCAACGAAAGCGTGGGATTACAGTTTATTTTCGGTAAACACGCCGCCCGCGGACATATTTGCCGTTCCTAAACCCAGCCCAGGTACAATTCTGGACACAAGAGATATGTAAGCGAAATTTCAGCTTCCTCCGTCAGGTAAAAATATGCAAAAAATGTGTTATAATTTTTTTTCGCTATGGCAGGAGAGATTCATACCCTGGACTCTGTTGCATGTACACAACAGAGTCCAACCTGGGCTAGTACATGAATGACAAACAGCATACATGTAAAGACCTTATTATCGAAAAGAGTAAACGACATGTTTACATTTGCATGTAAAACAAAAAATGGGATTTCTGTTTTAAACATGCCAACCAGACACTGGGAACATGCATTTTACCCATAGAGCTATAGTAAACTACATGTACTAAGGCGCAACCTCCTCATTCCCCCGCAGAGATACGGTACTTTGAAGCCGTCCTGAATTCATGTGCGTGTTTGTAGAACATAATGAAATCCGATGGAATGAATGTTGAATAATATACATGTATCCTAAAAATGCAACGCGCAAACTGTACATGTACAATGCACGTATTTGCCTTGTTTTGCGCAGAGCAAAATGCAACGCTCATGTATTGATTGTGCGTTTCGGTTTTCAGCGTATCGGCTTTGATAACTCACTGGTATAGAATACAAATGCAAATAGCCGCACTAAAGCCGTACTAAGTTCTCCATAGGTTTGTGCACAAACAGGGATGCGCCCAGCACGCTTCACTTTCACTTTGTACAGCGAGTCAGCGCTATAGTAATTTAATATAGCTCTATGATGGTACTTGATACACTATGAAAACCATGAAATTTCATTTGCAATGGAAAGGGGTAGCGGTATGTAATGGTATTTTCCGACTCTCCCAAAATCACATGGTAATGATGACCAGCATACGTGTACCCTTACATGCACAGCTCAAACTATTCACCAATTTAAAATGAAGTTTGTATGGTACACTATGAAAACCATGAATTTTTGATTTGAAGTGAAACAAGGTATTTTATGGTACTTTCCCAACTCTCATGAAACCACATACATGTTAATGTACATGCACAGTACAACAAACTCAACCGTTTAAAATGAAATTTCACTATTCACACAAGGTATGAACATGGAAGAATGGTTTGCCGTGGATTGTTTACACATGAGCCGAGTCACCATAATTTAATTTGGTTTCCAAAGCCAGAAAAAAAAAGTCACATGCAAAATGTGGGTTTCCATAAACAGAAAATGTATACATGTACATGTGTACATGGCCCAGTAATTTCTACATTTCTTCACTGAGTCCATGGGTACATGTACAAGGTACATGTACAACATGTACATTGTACATGTAATTTACATTTGTGTCACAGCATCACTAACAAAAAGCAGGAACAGCAGCTATGACAACCCTGTTAAAAACAATTTCCTGACATTTCTTAATATACATGTATTTTCTAGATGAAAATATATCTTGTTTCAAGAAATATTTTCTTGTATCCCAAGAAACTATTTCTTGGGTGTGCGATGACAATAATTTTCTTATAGTAAGATGTTTTTCTTATTATAAAAAAACCCTTGTTTTTAGCAGTGATGTTGGTTTAATACACGACTGGTCTTCACTGCGGTCCAGCATGGGCTTTAAGTTCTGATGCCAGTAACGCCTGATTTCATATGCCTTAAACCATATTTTACATTTTGAACACAGAACTAGATGTACATGTATACATGTACGTAAAAGCAGCTTTCAAAGTACCGGTACATAAACTACAATTTATAAACACCCTAAACAGTTTACCCATTCCTATTGGTCAAGAGCCCGTCACGTGGCCGGTTTTAAATGGATGTTTAAGACATGGCTGGCTGGTCTTAAATACTTTTCCAGTGTCACATGAAATTTGAAATCCATTTTATTGGTTGAACCTTCACAATCCTCACGTACATGTAGGCATTCGCAATACTACCAGTGAGTCAGTATTTCATAGTCCGAAATTCACACTACACCGAAACATGTACGTTCTGCACGACATCACGCAGTACAGTGTATGTTTGATGCGCACCAATCTCCATTTAAGGAGTTGTTTACCAAAGGGCCTTACCACTTTATAGCTAGAGGGATGTTTTGTTGAACGAAATCGTTGGAAATTTATAATTTTTCCAATTTTTGACTCTTGTGGACAGAAAATGTTTGACTTTTTTTTTACGAAAAGGTGTATGAATGCCGACAATTACCCGAGCCTTTGGCTCGGGTAATTATCGGCATCCAGACTCCAACCGGTCTTAAACAGAGTGTTTAAATACCGACCAAGCACACATTTATTTCCTTTTATTTAAAATGATGGCAAATTCTAACTTCATGCACAACATGCAGGAACATGCAGGAAGATGGCAGAATGTAAAAAAACAAGCATGCACACCATGCACACGGTGCAGCATCAACAAAAGAATCTCACTAACTTGCAAACCGCCTGTGTGAAAAAAAATGGCCGTGCTCCAAGTAAGTTTTAAGAAAGCATGGGTTTTCGCTCCTCCTCCGTGGTGCTGATATCTTCCTTTCTAACGCAGCGACGGACTAGGAGTGCCCCCAGCAAGAGTGTCCAAAACAGGACACTAAACCAGGAGGCACTCTGCGTATCATGGAGGTGGTGGAGGCATCAGTAAAAGCAGCAAAAAAAGAATGAAAAAAAAACAGGAAGGAAGGAAGGGAATAAGACAAAGTGTGGTGGAAATGATGGTAAATTATACGCAACTGAGTGGTGAGTACGTGTAGATGTAGGCTGTATTATGTGTTAATTTTATGTTTGGCACTTGATTAAACACAAGCATTAAAATAAATTACATACACGTACATGTACATTGTGTACATGTACAGGGTGAGTAAAAAATAAACGAAACCCAAATGTCGGGACCATTGTTTCAGTGAAGTTCTGCATGTAGCACTTGTGAATCGTTGTGTTAAATGGTTTTCGTTTTGCTGAAAGAACGTACACCTTTTTGTGATCCGTGGACAGAACTTTAAAACGGTGGTTGTGCTTACAATTCGGTAGCTTGAAAATTACATGAGTCATTTGAATAATTCTTGTACTAAAAGAAAGCTTATGAATTGGGCTTTCATATCCTAGATTTTGAAAGTGCTACATGCAGAACTTCACTAAAACAATGGTCCCGACATTTGGGTTTTGTTTCTTTTTTTTACTCACCCTGTATTTGTCTACAAAACATGTCCTTCTTTTGATCTTAAATATAACTATGTTGTTCACTAAGGAATCAAACCAAAATTTCAGATCATGAACATGTACGTAAACAAGGCATGACAAATTTTACGGAGCAAGTTTCATCAGCTTTGTGCATGAGAGTGAGATGTAAACACCATATGCAGCCGAAAGCTTCTGGAGGAATGCAGGATCACCCCTGATGTCAATGCACACCTCCTCGATTGTGTGTTGCGCCAAACGATCCAGGAGGTGTGCAATGACATCAGGGGTGATCCTGCATTCCTTCAGCTCGATACAAGTATACAGCTTGATGCAACTACATGTATATACAGCTTGATGCAGCCATTTCGACGCAAGGCAGCTATTGCTGGAATCAATCACAATAACAGTCTCTGCCCTCACAGTACCAATTTACTCCCGGCTGGTGAGAGGCAACGAGTGCCAAAGTAGCTTGCCCAAGGGCACACGCACCACAACCCCAGGCTGGACTCGAACCCACAACCTGCAGCTTTACCCGCAGACCACAAATCAAATGCTCAAGACCACGAAGTCACACATACTGAAATTTGTATTCTTGTGGAGACATTTCTTTGTTCTCGTGTAGTAAAGTTTTCGAGTTTGAAAGTGAAGATTCAAAATGCTCTCATTTTAACCAGAACTAATTTCCTTGGCTGAAATTCGGACTTAATATCCCTTTTCTAAAACTCTTCCATTTTCGACAGATCAACCCACCTTAAAAATTTCTAGTTTTTGAGTGAAATCCATATACATGTATATATTTCGTGAAAATCTTGTTGAGACGAATTCATCTATAGAAATTGCCCTTTGGAGACGTATAAAATCTTTTGTTCCCTATTGTGTGCATGTCTCCACAGGACACGGTATATCAGATCACGGCGCTCTGCACACTATACATGTACATATCCCATACCAGTATGTGAACCAATGGTAATCGTCCCTATTGTAGAAATCCTGGTTGCATGATGCTGATCCAAATATTTCTGTAAGAAACACCCAAGTTGGACACTGACACATACGTGTATGTAGCGTTTCTCTCGTGGTAGGGTAATCTGGATATTGAATTTGGCAAGGCAGATGTGCAACATTTTCAACAAACACACAGTGCTGCTACTCGGCAAGACAAAAGCATTCCACTCGTTTACAATACAATGTTTGAATTGACTGACATGCATTGCGAGAAGTACATGTAAAAATACTAATTTTTTTTTCTATTTAGGGCAGCTGCAACCTTCTGAAAATAAAAAGAAACCAACACAAACATTTAAAAGAAGCAAACTCTCAACAGGTTCTTCACAAACAAGCAATAAACACGCAAAGTACACTTAGCAAAAACACTTGGAGACTGGTACGTACTTGCGCCGTGGTCAGAAAGCCAAACCAGTTCCCTCCAGAATACGCCGTGTGATCGACTTTTTGGTCTGCTTTACATGAGGGTGGGCGGTTCCAATTCTGACCCGACAAGTCCGCGGAACACCTGCGGAGAAACAGAGGGACATAAACAAGCGTCACAAGACAAGTCACAAGTCAATCATGAATACATCACATGAGTGCTAGTCTAATATACCACACAAAGGAAAAGTGAATACTTTTACAAAGAGCAGACACGATCCTTAAAAAGTTGAACAAGGAAATTGACTGAGCCCCGAGACACTCGGAATACTGACCCGCCACGCTATGAACTAAGCTATCTAGCCCTTTGCAGGTCAAGACGTCACAAATTCGATTTCGTGTTCGCGCCGAGTAGGAACTGGTCTTAATGCAGTTCAGAGTTGAAATGAAATCCTAAAAAGTTGGTCACAAGTTGGTCACAAGTCGGTCAAGATTCAGTCACAAGTCAGTCACAGGTCGGTCCCAAGTCGGTCACTAGTCAGTCACAAGTCGGTCACAAGTTGTTCGCAAGTCGGACACCAATCGGTCACAAGTCAGTTAAAAGTCAGTCACAAGTCAGTCACTAGTCAGTCACAAGTCAGTCACAAGTCAGTCACAAGTCAGTCACAAGTCAGTCACAAGTCAGTCACAAGTCAGTTACAAGTCAGTTACAAGTCAGTCACAAGTCAGTCACTAGTCAGTCACAAGTCAGTCACAAGTCAGTCACAAGTCAGTCACAAGTCAGTCACAAGTCAGTTACAAGTCAGTTACAAGTCAGTCACTAGTCAGTCACAAGTCAGTCACAAGTCGTTCGCAAGTCGGACACCAGTCGGTCACGAGTCAGTTACAAGTCAGTCACAAGTCGGTCAAAAGTTGTTCGCAAGTCGGACACCAGTCAGTCACAAGTCAGTCACAAGTCAGTCCCAAGTCGGTCACTAGTCAGTCACAAGTCAGTCACAAGTCAGTCCCAAGTCAGTCCCAAGTCGGTCACTAGTCAGTCACAAGTCAGTCACAAGTCGTTCGCAAGTCGGACACCAGTCGGTCACAAGTCAGTTACAAGTCAGTCACAAGTCGGTCAAAAGTTGTTCGCAAGTCGGACACCAATCGGTCACAAGTCAGTTACAAGTCAGTCGTAAACCAGTTGGTCCCAAGTCATTCTCAAGTTGGACACCAGTCAGTCACAAGTCAGTCACAAGTCAGTCACAAGTCAGTCACAAGTCAGTCACAAGTCAGTCCCAAGTCAGTCACAATCAGTCACAAGTCAGTCACAAGTCAGTGACAAATCAGTCACAAGTCAGTCATAATGCCGTCAAGACTCACACTGTCACTTTGGTGTCCGTTCCACTTGTTAGACTGCCGCAGAATCGATTGAATCCAATGCTGAGTATACAGGAGTCGATGAAGAGTAGTGCCAGGCAGACAGCATTGATGATGATCGCTGGTAGCATGATCCAGCGCCTAATAACATGGCAGAGGAAATGTTATGGTTGTTAATGATAAAATGAAAAATAGTTGAAGTCAGTTAACCAATTTTCAGCAGCATTAGAAGGCACCAAAACTGAGAATCAATGCTACCACCAAAGTACAGTGGAACGTGGCTATACCGAACACCGCTACACCGAACATTCCGCTATACCGAAGATCGTCCTCGGCTTTTGATTTCCATGTACAAAACGTACGGAACATTGTTGTTGAATAATGTTGACAGAAGAGTGACAAGTGGCTATTATTTCCACAAGGAATAGAAGGGGAAAGCCACCCATTGCTGTCGGTAGTAAACTCAAAAACTGTGTAATTACATAATTCAATAGTCGGCACGTGTTAAAGTCATCTTTCAGTGACTACCAGGGCATGCAGGGTGAAGTTCTGAAGGGCGCTATTTATTGAAAAGTGAGTACCGGAGCACCGGCGGCTTCTGTGGAACAATTTCTGTGGATCCCGCGATAATCCACTGTATTAAAAACACCTAACAGGGATGCTAATAGGTTTTTGCTCATGGGCCGGAAAAAACTATTGCATTAACCACACGTACGGTACTAACATCTCAATAGTCAATACCACACATTGCGTATGTCAACAACAAACATACAAAGTACAATACATGCATGTACATTCGTGTATCACGCTAGTACCGGTATGGTGATCATCATGGAGCAGGGCATGTACAACGATCTGTCACTCGCACACCAGTATACTTAGCTTTTAAAGTATCGTTCGCAGAACAATGTGAATGCGGAATGTTTATGGGCAATTCCACGGTTACTCACGTTACATTTTTGATGTACTTTTGAGTTTCCTTGGGCTGCAATTACCTTACTGAAAAGGTTTAATAACTGTTATCCCCATGGTAGATATACATGTAGATAGAGTAGACCTAGACCTACCTAAGCACCAAAGATGACATCCAGAAAAATGTGTTATGTATAATAAACAAGACACACAAAATCAGTTACTCACGTTTCATTTTCATAACGAGAGTAACCGATTTTGTGTGTCCAGAAAAATGTGTTATGTATGATTTAAACAAGACACACAAAATCGGTTACATTACATTTTCGTAACATGAGTAACAGATTTTGTGTGTCTTGTTTATCATACATAACACATTTTTGCTGGATGTCATCTTTGGTGCTTAGGTAGGTCTAGGTCTACTCTATCTACCATGGGGATAACAGTTATTAAACCTTTTCAGTAAGGTACCGGTAATTACAGCCCAAGGAAACTCGATAGTATATCAAAAATGTAACGTGAGTAACCGTGGAATTGCCCTTATGCAGAAAACTTCTGTTTGATCGATTGCCAGCCGTACCAGTCTAGCACACTGACAACATGTACAGTACATGTACTGGTACCGGTAGCTCATAACCAATCTTCTTCCTGGCTTATGAGCGACTATCAAACAACGTAGTTATAACGACTTTGCCCACTGACTGAACGAAAACATGCTTCTATATTTTTTAATTTCTCCTTGCACACAGTTAATTATTATTCTGGCCTGCAAAGGGATGGAATGCCAGAGTATTTTTTGAACAACAGTGTTTCGATGACATTATTGTTCCATTTTGAGCTGGGCAGGTACGTTCGCAGGGCCAAATTTGGAAAATTAGGAGATTTCTGTTACTGTTTTAATTTGCAATATTCTGATGATATTTCCAACAGTATTCCTGAAAACGGAATCAATCTTAGTCTATAGTCCAGAATGAAAAAAATGCATTGAATTTCTGGAAGACCAAATAGAATGTAGATCTGTAGTGCATGCACTAAATGCACGTGCTTATCATAAAAAAAATTACAAATTTTTTATTCGACAGGGCAGAGACATTCATGTACCTTTCTTTGGTCCATTTAAAGAAGACAGCCACATGGTAGACACAGCAAACCAATGCGTAGAATGCTACGATGATGTCTAAGCCAACACTGAAGCCGCACACACCATTGCTGCCCAGCTGCGTGAAAGCGAAGGCTGTCTGATTGCACCAAGCAACCTCGCCAAAGAGAATACAGTCTCCTCCAAAGGATTCCTGGATGGCAACAAAGGAGGGAAAGGAAACCATGAGTAACGAATTGGTGTTTTTTTTTTTTTTTCATTTTGTTTTATTGAAGAATGAACAGATCACTATGTAGGACTGCATTGGGATCTATACATACGTGTTAGGTCTGTCACAATATTGGCGACCAAAAGTGGGACGTTAGAGATCAGAAGCAAGATGAAAGCTGCATGCTGTTAGTTTTCTCTTACAGCTACAGTCCATCATTTGCAGCTATCCAAAAAGTAACTGACTCATTGACAGTAACTGAATTATTGTTGAAAAACATACTCAGTTTAAAGATAGTAATGGGACTAAACTCCCTGTGAAATTATTCTTTCTGGCAAGCTGTCATTTTAAAGTACCTGTTCTGTGCATATTCTTGGTAGTTGACCAGTTTTCTGGACTGCACCTTTGGAATCCAGCACAGCAGGGGACCATTAATGTACGTATGTAAATGCGTATGCAAATGTACCGTACATGGAAAATGTAGCTGTCCCCATCATATTTTTTTTTCTTGTACAAATGAGTGAACATGTACATGTACCGGTATGTCCCCACAATAACGGAATACATGCGTGTACGTATACATGTATGTACTGTACAAATACATACACATGAAAAATCAACTGCACATTGCACAAGCGACTAGTACATTTTGTAAATTCCATACATTCAAGCCTTCTCAATACACCCATTGACTTGAAAGCCAAGGTCAATGACCTCTGCCGTCTGGCTTCTGCAATTCAGTGACGAAGATGCAGGTAATGTACATGTACATTGTACATGTACATGTATGAAAATGTCACCTGTACATTACATATCAGGCATACAACTAGGAATTTAGAAAAAAAATTTAGGAATAATCCTATAACCACACAAGACTTCGCACAGTGATTTTAAATTTGTAACATTTGGCATTCCTGAGAAGTAAAAAACGAGGAAATCAGTGGATCCAAGGAAAAGTTGCACGCCTGCAAAAACTGTACCCTGATACACTGTTATACATGTACCGTACCGGTCGGTACATTAGGTTTTCCCGTTCAATTTAAAAAAAAATTATCACCAAAATAGCTTCAGTCTTTCAGAGTCGTTCTTCAGAGTCGTTCGTTTCAGCGCACATTTGAATGCAGCTTAAGATACATCTTTCAATTTAAAAATAAAAGAACATTAAAAGAGTTTTTTAAGTACGCTCAGTAAGGAAAATAGGGCAATCAAATTTTAAAGCACGCTCATTCAAATTGAAAGTAATCATATTTGCCAAAGCCTTGAGGCATGAGCATTTGGTCAAATAAATTTGTCAATGGACAAATTTGGACAATTTGGCATTGAAATTGAAATGCATCCTTACGGTACATGTACAAAATTCTAAGAGAATGATCACAGAAAATTGAAAGAAATATACATTGACGTGTACAATTCCAAGAATATGCATTTAAACCCTAACTCCGTAGGCCTTTTTGCTAGGATGTAGCCGCAATCCTGCAAAATCCTCCAATTGGCCTCATGGAAAAATATAGCCTCAATCCTACAAATTCCTCCATTATTTCTTGAATACGGTCCGTGGAGGGGTGACCACTGCCTGAATCCTGCAAAATCCTGCAGCAGTGACTGTCAATATGTTGAGGCTTGGCCAGTGACATCCTGGAGCAGTACGGAGGATTTCAAGCATAATCCAGGCCTATATTTATGCATGGCTGAGCAAAAACAACACATTAGGTCCGGCCCAAGACCTTGACAAAGTGCATCGTACGAAATCAGTAACGCACTTTTGCCAAGTAACCTCGATCCTCCAAATTCCTCCATTTTGGCAAAAAGCATTTTGAAGGATTCAGGGCGGTTAAGGTTATACATTTCTTGTACGTTATTCATAAATACCTGAGACAGTTCACCAATTCCTATTGGTCAAGAGCCCATCAAGAGGGTGGTTTTACATGTAAATAGCCGGTAAAACACCTCTGCGTCTTCTGCGCCACATCACGCAGTACGCGTGTGCCAATTTCCATATTAGGAGATTTTCAGCACTACACATGGGAGGCACATACCGGTACCATAAACATGGTCAGAGGCTTGTTTCACAAAACATGAAGTAAAATTGTTGAACAAAATCGTTGGAAGTAATGAAGTTTTGACTTGTTTTTACTTTTTGACCAAAAGGTATTGATGAAAGGTTTGCAAATATTGAGTGGCTTCAAGCAAAAAGTGTTTTTTTGCTACATTGAAAACTTTACATGTAGGTTTTGATTTTCTTGTTACAGTGCTATGTACCGGTACTTATTATAGAACTTCACCCTTATACATGTAGGCATTGAATATTTTGATAAATTTTGTTATAGACTGAGATATGTAGACAAATTGTTCTGATAAATTTCTATCTGCGTGGCACTCACTGTCAAAGTCTACAAATCTCAGCGAGATAGAAGACATTAAGAGCCGGTACAAAATGCATGACATAAATATGTACTGGTGCACACATCATACCCGTACCTTATATATATGTACGTCATACAGGTGTACATGTATTTAGTGTATTTTGCATCAATATAAGTACCTCTGTAAATATATTACCCTGGTGTAGATAAGCACAATCAACCGCAACAAGCAAGATACATGTAACAGCTACTGTTAAAGTACAGGTACTGTACAGTGGCCCTTTAAACATGTCAACAAGGTCATTGAAGAAGGCGCAATTTACTTGTGTACATGTTCAATGTAATTCCCATTCCCCACCAAATGCACAACTGGTGAGAATTTTAAACTCGTAAACAGCAGTTGGCATCTGAGTAGCACTTAATTGACCGAGGATATTTCCAGTGCAATCAGTTTGGTATGCCACTATAAAATAGGTGTGGGAGAAATTGGAGATTTCAAACTTCGGTTATCCTAATGTTTTGCAAACCGAATAGCGAATCTGATTTCACAGGAGGTACATGTACCCAAAAAGTATGTAAAAGGTGATGAGTGAGATGCTGCATGCAATGCCCTCCAGAGCTGTAATGGTGAAAAAATGTGTGGAATTAAATAATCTAAATATTAACCCCACAGTCCCACCACTAATAAAATGAATGATGATCTTTCGTCTCTGCTACGAAAGTAAAAATTCTCGTGACAGTCAGGTGATAAAATCGATGTCATGTCTGTACAACATGACTGAAGTACACGTGTATTCACGTACATGTACATGTACATGTAGGGCGTACAAATGTACATGTACCTGTACACGTGTACATGTACACGCACGTGCACGCTTTCATGAGGAAGTTAAAAGCACAAATTATACGCATGTGTGCACCTGTGGATGTTCATTTTAATCCTTCTTTAGACCATTTCTATTCTAGAACTGGAGTACTGTCAATACACAATTCAATACCGCCAATGCAACGCTGTGTACACACACGTGTACGTTGGTCATGGGACTAATAATTTTGACACCATACTATACACAATGTGCCAGTGTACATGTCGTGGAATATACATGTAAAGCACGTGATTTGAATGTAATTACACACTTGCTTTGTCAATAAAAAGGATGTGGTCTTGTTGAAGAATATTAATACCCCAGGATGAGCAACAATAGAATGACATCATTCCTACATGTACATATAGGCATGTTGTATCATGCTGTATTCTGACATATGCCTGAAGTGCTCATTGAAGGGTGAAAAACACAGGCATTTTAATTGACAGCTTGAAGTATGGGGTGATTGTAATTGTGTACATACTGCAGACCTGTTTTGGTGCTCTATTTACAATGTATGTCCATCATTGTTTGGAGGTAAAGCAGGAAATGTAAATAACACATCCATGTAGCCTATACTACATGTACGGTAGACTGTATCACAAGCCAAACTAAAATCGCAAACAAATACTAGTTTTAAATATTAATCAAATTTTGTTTTTAAGTACACTGGACATGCATACGGTACATAAAATGTACCCGGTACATACACGCATCTTGAAAAGGAAACTGGATGGAATAAATATGATAGTTTTGATAGTTGAATTTTAATGTTGCAAAGTTGGACGCCTGTTCTTGTGCACCATTTTTATACTCGTTACAGTCATACAATGAAGGGGGGCACATGGGTTACTCATTTTTAGGAGGGGAACACGCACAGGGTTTTGGTAATTTTTGTGTAGTTTTCAAACAAAATCATTTTTTTACACTGTATTTTTTTCCGGAAATTTTTGGCTTGGTAGGGTACAAAATGTAGGAGGGGGGGGGGGGGTGAGCAATGTGCCACCATGCCTGTGCCCTACAACCTTAAGTCCATACCGGTAATTAGGCTTTTCACAGGGTTTCATAACAATGTTTCACAACTTGTATTCTGGGTCCACTTAGTACATTTTCATGTGGGCCTTTGCACACTAAAGGGGTACATGTACAAAAGTGTGGCATGGGATTGGGAAATGAAGCAAGATATTAATATCAAGTTGTTTGTCCTATTTTCCATTCAAGTACATTCCCACTCCAGTGCTGAGGATTGTACTCATGAAGAATTTAAGACTTTCCAAGAAAATTTTACACAAATATATACGGTATGTATGCTCACAATGTTATGTACATACATGTACGCAATGACAGAAAATTTGTTAATATTGATACCAGTAGAAAGTTATAATTACAATAAATTTCTTTATCAAATATTGTGCCTTTTCATTGTTATCCCTACAGCATTGTCACCTGTAAAAACACTGAGACAATCTACTCTGTTTTTCAGATGTCACAGGGTATCACATGTCTGTTCACAATATTACGTACGTGACACGGACAGAAATTGCAACATTTCTGTCCATGTTACGTACCGGTACGTTACATACTTTATGTGTCTTTAAGACCAACAAAATTGTGTTTATTGTGGCTGCTAGCACTCCTAAATGGGTTATGAATGAGATGACATTTGGGTAAATTTGTGCACATGATAATTAGTGTACTGCCAATTTGTAGCAAACATTATGTCCATTTGCACATGTACAAGACATGTACGTAATTTGTGATGACCCCTGTAATTTCTGAAGTACAGATCATGTTCCTCTACATCTTGTTTGTGCACATGATCATTAACGCCTCAGGAATGTACCAGAATACAGGAAACATCTGAACAAAATATCTTGCTCTGCTGTACCCTCCAGTGTCCCCCTCTCAAATCCCAAATTCTACACCAACCTTCAAAGAAAGACTTAAAAGGCACATGAGCCAGCACGTCTAAGAATTGACCCTAACCCCCATTGGCGTGATACTTCAGAGGCGGCGGTGCCAATTAATTATCCAGATCCAGATGTATCCCATTAGCGTGGAAAAATAGAGTTTTAACATCAAAGCAAAATCATCCTCCAAGCTCAATGCCAACTCACTGTCCCCTAGACTTAGGCCTACATGTAGGACTACATCATTAGTGGGTTGGATTAAAACCCAGCTTTTTCAATATTCAGTTTGAATTCCACTATTCGGTTTGTAAGCAGGTTAATCAGGGAACCCTTCACCTATTCTTTGACATTCAGACCCAGTCAAAACTGTTCATAGGGTTTCCATAGCACCAGGGGCATCAGTCGCTTCTCAAAAGTGGGGGGAGGGGGAGGGGGAGGGGGAGGGGGAGGGGGGAGAACATACTTGTACCGGTACATGTACCTTGCTCAGAACTAATGCAAGTGCGAATCCCTTATGGCGTGCCCCGGAAAAATGTGATTCTAAACGCTCTCTGTGGTGCGATCTGAGACAATTTCTGACCTCTTAAAAAAAAACATTTTTAGCAATTAAGATAATCATTTCAAAATCATTTTCAAGGTTGGAGTCATTGAATAAGTTATTCTGAGCTGTAGGCGTGGGGTTCAGGGCCTGCTTAACATGCCTAAGGGCCCTGAAAAAAATATTCTAGATACTCCGGCGATCTGTGATGCGATCTGAGGCAATTTCTGACCACTTTAACCAATATTTTCTGAGCAAAAGTTACAATGTATATAATAGGGCCCTGTAAATGAGAAACAGGAGTTCAAAAATCTGGGGGGGGGGGGGGGACATTTGATACTGTGTCCCCCATCCTTCAAAAATTGGAGGGGACATGTCCCCCTGTCCCCCCCCCCCCCCCCCCCACCCTTAGGATTGACGCCCATGCATAGCACATTCAGCCAGATTTCACCAAAATTTCATGTTTTACATTTTTCACAAGAAATTAACATGCATGTCAGTATTGTACATGTACATTGTAGGTATGTCTCACATGCACAGCACATTTAAAGCTGTCAACAAAAGACTGGCAATTTGCGAGATATTGTACATCCTAGCTCCAAGGATATATGTACATTGTACACTTTTATGAGGTCCCATCACAGGGATTTTCAAGTTGCATTTTGTCGTTTCTGCTTTAAAAAATAAACTGGCTCTCTTTCTAGGAAATACAGACGCATCATGTTGGTCTTCAACATCTCGTACCAGTTGGGGAAATACAATACAATATTAAAGGGAAAATACAACATTTGCAAACATCAAAAAATAAAACTACCAAATCATTTTGAAATACCTTGCTGGACTGTTAGTGAATGACAGTGTAAAGCATTCTGTAAAATCATGGCGCCTGGTATCATGGCACTTGTTTGCAATCGATTACACACCTATGAACGGGTACAAGCCAGCTAGACTGGTTCCCTGACCTTACAATTCCCAATATATGTAAACTGCTCTGTTTCTTCTTAAATGGAGTCAGGGAACCAGACTACAGGAAAATGATTGTTTTTCTTGGTTTTTATAGCATTTTCGAACCCAAAACCTCAAAAAAGTCAGTGTAACTATATTTGCTATATATTTCCAACCCCCCAATTCCATCCATTTCCGAAAATTACAGCAAAAGCAAATGATGTATATTCCCTTTAAACCTGAAGTGAAAGTGGATGTTACTAATTTAGGAACAGGACCTCGCCTTAAAATTAATTTAGCCAAATCAACATTTCGCTCTTTTAAGCACCAATTCACTTTAATTAACAATGCATTTTGCAAAAACACTTTTACTATTTTTACGGAAGTTGTCAGTTAACCAAATAATTCTCCACAATTACATCCCTTAAAAAAAACATCCAGGGCAATGAATCAGAACCAACAAATATTATTACATCTATTTCAAATAGCTGGAGTTACCCAGCCCTAAATTTTATCATGGGGTTGTCATTTAGGGCTGGAGGACACTTTTCACGTAACCCAGCAACGTAACCCAGCAGCGTAGGCAGGTCCCAAAAAAAAATTGCGTTACACACTAATTGCAACTGCAACTCACCCCAAACTTGCCTGGAATAACCATTACACAGGTCCTTGAAGTTAAAAACGATCCATGATGAAGATTCAGCCTACAATTGCAGTGAAAAAAGGAGGAATAACTGCTAACCTGACAACCTTGCAGGCATGGCCAGGACTGCAATTGGTTTGTGCAAAAAAAAAAATTGTGTACAATGAATGGCGGTCGATTACCATGCACAGCGCGCTGGTACTAGTCGTTTTTGCCGGCTGAGCTGGCCGTTGGCGCATGATGTCACGCAGAAGCGTAAACATCGGTTGCCGTTCCAGTATCGCAGCTGTGATGCGAGTGGTAAACCTCCTATTAGTGCATGAAACAGTGATCGGGTGTTACGCTTCTGCGTGACGTCATGCGCCAACGAAATTTTTTTTGGGACCTGCCTACGCTGCTGGGTTACGTGAAAAGTGTCCTCCAGCCCTAAATGACAACCCAATGATAAAATTTAGGGCTGGGTAACTCCAACTATATTTCAATAACAAGTAGCCCAGGATTTGATTTAAAAAGGCAGCCGATATTTAGCCGGCACTGCTTTCAGTAAACAATATTTTGCAGGATATGCACTGAATTTGCATGATTTGCGCAGTGACTGTTTTATTTTTCATTGACTTAGTCTTTGATATTTTCAGTGTGACAATTTTAGTAGGCCTATGGTTCTGCACTAACATTTTTTATTTTGACTTCTTGTTCATGAGATGGGAATTGGACCATTTTACAATTTCGGACCTTATTTCCCTTTAAAAAAAATCCTCCAGTTGAGTCCAGAGCCACCAATCACAAAAAGGGGCCTACTCTGTAATTAAATGTTGGAGGAGTCAATTAAAAACAAACATGACAAAGAGAGTACACTGTGGTGTGGGCCTTTTCACTGTATTCTTAATTTTGGGGGATGAAAAAATTATAACATTTACAGTCAGTAGGCCCTAGGCCTACATCTAATTCTACCTCCATGGTATGAGTCATGTAACATGCATGACATGTCTGAGTGTGATTACAACGTGTACTATAACTACACAAGCAATGCCATTGCCAATGTACAAGAAGATCAATCATTGGATTTGTGTATCGATACTTACCCTCGAAATTCCAACAGTAATTGCTGTGATCAGGCCTGAGAAGAAAGCAGCTAGATAAAGCACTGTTTCAGTGATCATCAAACATCCTTCGACCGCCATGGCTCTCACGGACAACAGCAAAACTTTCGTTTTTAAATTTTACCTGTGGTTTGGTGTTGCCGTGTCAAGCAAAAACATGGCAAAACTGTACTACTGGAATTGCTGAGTAGCGCCCTCAATAGACAATTAAAGTCTAGTTGGGCTCAGCCCACCTGCCTTGACCGATCACCAGTCCCGTGTAGTGCTAGTGGAGTAGGTTTTGGGGTGAACCCTGACCCTGAGTGCATTAAAATTCCCATAGACACTGGTGTTTACTTGCCTATAATACTCAGATCTCGCACAGGTATTTAAGCTGCACAGAAAAATGATGATCAACATGTCATCTTTCATTTTCTTTTCAATTTTTTGTTGGGTTGACCATAGACTTTTCGAGGAATTACCACCCAAAGAAGACAACCCCTAATTTTTCCCAAAGCGGAAAAGTAGCCATCTTGAAAAAACGATCCCTCCACAACTTAAAATAGTACCACTTTCGAGCCCAATTGCATCCAAAGTGCTCAGAATTGGAACCCCCAAGTCCGGGCTAGAGGTTCATTGCCACAATCTCCCAATTTTATGGCTCTCAGAACTCTCTAATATAGAATATTTTGAAGGTATAATATGAGGTCGGCGGATGGGTTTAGGACTATTTATCAGTATGCGCCCATATCCATAGGGGGTGTTAGCGATCGTAAAGTCCAAAATCTCAAATCGGTGTTTTGAAGTTGCTGTCCTCGTGCTTAAAACAATTTCTTTCTTTTTTTCTCCTACGTACCTTTACTTTATTTATTTTATAAAACAAAAGCTAACATTTTTTTCTTGTCTGTTTAGGGCGTCTACATCCATTCGTGAAAAGTCTTTTTATATCCCACTTGCACGTGCCCGGATCCTCTAAAAATAACGGGCCCTTTGAATTGCGCCCTCAATATTATGTATAATATGCGGTATCTTAATAAAGCAAAAATTGTTGTGCCTTTATATGCTGTCTGTAACATTTTCGAGTCCCCCCCCCCCTAGTCTGAGGATTCTATCATTTATTAACGATCCATCAGCTGACATCTTGGCGCCTCTACCTGGGTCTGGGCACAGGGTCTTCCACATAAGTCACCTTCAAGAAATTGGGTCGTAAAAAAAATAGCATTTGATTTTACTACCTATTTTTAAGCATTAACTTGCATTTGTATGAATAAAAATGAACTAAATGATTTGACTGGAAAGCATGTGCTGAAAGCTAAGAGTATTTTTGTTTTACTTGTCAGCTTTTACGGGTTATGAACGCAGGGTTTTGGACAGCGGTGTTTACTTTTTACATTTTTTCTTATTCCCTCTTCCTTTTCCATTCCTTCTCCATTCTTCATTTTCTATTTTGCCGAAAGCACCATGATTTTGCCGACAAAACTGACAAATGGGGGGGGGGGGGGGGGGGGGGTTGACTTTCAACTTTCCATCTGCAATTTTCCAGAAACATCTGATTTTGCCCTAATTTGGCAAGGTTAACCCCTTACAATTTTTGATTTTTCATACAAATCTGATTTTGCCCAATTTTGCTAAAAATTCAAAGTTAACCCCATAAACACCTGATTTTGCCCTATTTTGCTAGAAAATGCAAAGATAACCCCTAACAATTTGAAATTTTTCATAAACATTTAAATTTTCCCAATTTTACTAAAAAGCAAGGTTAACCCCTTACAATCTGAAATTTTTCATACACATCTTATTTTGCCAAATTTCACTAAAAAAGCAAGGTTAACCCCTTACAATCTGAAATTTTTCAGAAAGATCTGATTTTGCTCAATTTCGCTAAAATATGCAAGGTTCACCCCTTACAATTTGAAATGTTTCATAAACATCTAACCCCATACAATCTGCAATTTTCCAGAAACATCTGATTTTTCCCAATTTTGCTAAAAATGTAAGGTTAACCCCTTGCAAACTGTTAACTCAATCCATGAAGTGTCCCATTTGACTTTTTTAAAACAAATTATATTTCCAGTTTTTAGGGTAAGGGAATTTTCTCTTTTTCCTTTCTCTTTTGTTGTTGCTATATTTTGCGAATTAACTCATTCGTATGGAATGCTCATAGTCAATCAAAGAATATTTCACACATAGGGGCCTAAATTATATTTTTTTAAATTTAATAGAGACGCAATGATTGTGCTATATCATATACCATTCTATTACTATTGCGAATTACTGTATTGTTTGGAATGCTCACAATTAAAGACACGTTATTTGAAAGATGTTTAAATAATATATATATTACAATGTACATCTTTATTTTTTCCCGGTATAATTTATGGCGTTTCTTACGTCAATTGGCAATCGCGTCATTATATAATGATAGTCAAATTGATCAAACGAAACTCCGTTTTGATTATAGTCAATTATGAAATATTCATTGATTTATGACATACACCTTTGTTTCAATTTTGATACTACCCGTAGACCTGCCCAGCAGCTGTAGATATCAAACTAAACCAAAGTATAAAAGATAGAGGGTAAAAAAAAATCAAAAAGTTATGTGCTAGTCAAGCTTTCAGGGATCGGTCTGAGCCATAACAATGCCCCAGCCGATCCCTTAGTTCTCTTCCGGGGTCTCGGCGTCCCCGACCAATACACACTTCCTTCCCTATCCATCCATATAACCCCGGAGGGCCAGGCACCATGTAAAAGCAAAGAGCTAAGGGAGGAACAGGGCGGCCCCTAAGCCCTGATCCTCCGAGTGGACCACATGCCCTGAACCTGTACGAAGGCGCCAACCTGGAACTCGCGGACAGTACCAGCAGCAGTGCTTACCGATTAAGCTAAGGTACTGTTGGTACTTTACGACGGGAAATTAAATCTCTTATAGTAAATGACTGAACTCATACGTTAAAAACCAAAAAGACACCAGCGGGATTCGAACCCGGGACCCCGCTAACCGTGGACGACGAGTCGTAACCACTCGGCCATTTCGTAACCTTAGAATTTTCCTTAAACTGAGAAAAGTTGTCTTTATAGGTGATCACGTAGGTGATAGGAAGATCACTGGGTCCATTTGCTTTGCTTTACCTTAATGGGTAAAAACAAGTCGATATAATGAGCCAGGTGTGTTTGGTTTGTTAGGAAGCTGCATAACACAGCCTAATGTGCAAAACAGTCGTGTGCTACGCGGATCATTACGCAACAATGCAATTGTGTATTTTCCAAAGGCAGACGCGTAGATTTCTACTCTTTGTATCTGGGTACATATAGATTCTCACCTCCCTCTTCAGCTATTTCGACTTTCTTAAAAAGAAAAATAGAGACTGTCAGCGAATCTCCGGGAGTTGAAATAAGGATCGTCCCCTCGATAGGCCTCAGACTCAGTACGGTTCAACATTGGGCTCTTTTTCAACAGCTGTTTTTGCGGAAAATTTCTATCTGGATTTTTGTAGAAGCAGGCTGATTTTGCCCATTTTTAGTAAAATATGCTCCAAATTTTGCTAAAAAAGCAAGGTTAACCCCTTACCATTTTAGATTTTTCATACAAATCTGATTTTGCCAAATTTTGCTAAATATACAAGGTACACCCCTTACAATTTAAAATTTTTCATAAACATTTCTTTTCGGAAACATCTTATTTTGCCCAATTTCGCTAAAGTATGCAATGTTCACCCCTTACAATTTGCAATGTTTCATAAACATCTAACACCATACAATCTGCAATTTTCCAGAAACATCTGATTTTGCCCAATTTTGCTAAAATATGCAAGGTTCACCCCTTATAATTTGAGTTTTTCATAAAAATATGCAATTTTCCAGAAACATCTGATTTTGCCCTAATTTGGCAAGGTTAACCCCTTACAATTTGAGATTTTTCATGAAAATCTCATTTTGCCCAGTTTTGCTAAAAATGCAAGGTTAACCCCACTCAATCTGCAATTTTCCAGAAACATCTGATTTTGACCTAATTTGGCAAAGGTTAACCCCTTACGATTTTTGATTTTTCATACAAATCTGATTTTTCCCAATTTCGCTAAAAATGCAAGGTGAACCACTAACAATTTGAAATTTTGTATTCACATTAAAATTTGCCCAATTGTACTAAAAAAGCAAGGTTAACCCCCTTACATCTGAAATTTTTCAGAAACATCTGATTTTGCCCAATTTTGCTAAAAATGCAAGGTTCAACACTTACAATTTGAAATTTTTCATAAAAATCTAATATTGCCCAGTTTTGCTAAAAATGCAAGGTTAACCCCTTTCAATCTGCAATTTTCCAGAAACATCTGTTTTTGCGCGAATTGGGCAATGGTTAACCCCTCACAATTTTTGATTTTTCATACAAATCTGATTTTTCCCAATTTTGCTAGAAATGCAAGGTGAACCCCTTACAATCTGAAATTTTTCATCAACATTTAAATTTGCCCAATTTTACTAAAAAAGCAAGGTTAACCCCTTACAATTTTTGATTTTTCATACAAATCTTATTTTGCCCAATTTGCTAAAAATTCAAAGTTAACCCCTTATAATCTGAAATGTTCCATTAACACCTGATTTTGCCCTATTTTACTAAAAAGTGCAACGTTAACCCCTTACAATTTGAAATTTTTCATAAACATTTAAATTTTCCAAAATTTTACTAAAAAAGCAAGGTTAACCCCTTACAATTTGAAATTTTTCGCACACATCTTACTTTGCCAAATTTCACTAAAAAAGTAAGGTTCACCCCTTACAATTTGAGAATTTTCATAAAAATCTGATATTGCCCAGTTTTGCTAAAAATGCAAGGTTAACCCCTTTCAATCTGCAATTTTTCAGAAACATCTGATTTTGCCCTAATTGGGCAAAGCTTAACCCCTTACAATTTTTGATTTTTTATACAAATCTGATTTTTCTCAATTTTGCTAAAAATGCAAGGTGAACCCCTTACAGTCTGAAATTTTTCATAAACACCTGATTTTGCCCTCTTTTGCTAAAAAATGCAAGGTTAACCCCTTACAATTTGAAATTTTTCATTCACATTAAAATTTGCCCAATTTTACTAAAAAAGCAAGGTTAACCCCTTACATCCGAAATTTTTGAGAAACATCTGATTTTGCCCAATTTTGCTAAAAATGCAAGGTTCACCCCTTACAATTTGAGAATTTTCATAAAAATCTGATATTGCCCAG